AAAATTAAGTATCAGGCGTATTTGGAAACAACAACCACCACCATTTTTAATATATCAACCACATGCATGTAACATGAACAACTTACACTATGAAGATATTCCGATTAGCATAAACGTTCTTACAACACCTTACATACTAATCGGAATAACTTTTCATAATAATGCACATTTTACATGTATAATACGCATTCAAAACAAATGGCTGAGGTATAACGGACTCCAAAATATTAAGATTACCCCTATAAAAGACAATGAAAAGTTAGGCAGCATTGGTTCTATAGTTTATTTGCGCGAGGATTAGAATAGGATCTGCGCATAATGTATCTGCTTAAACTTTGTTTTGGTTTGTAGACTATTATTGAACACAATGGTACAAAAGATTACTAAATACTGTGTTATTTATTTCAGAGACATCTGTGTGTGATCACCAAAGACAACAATAACTATTAGTCATGTCAAAACTCCATTATCAACTTTTAATAGACCATTAACAAAGATTCTATCACTGATCAACATCAAATCCAAACTTCAGAACCACTTGCGATCTTCATAGGTTCTGCCATTACGCCACGATCGCCTAAAACAAATTTTACTGCTAATTTTCAATACACACATCTTGAGGTTCGATTACTGTAACAGTGTTTTGAATAGAGTTCCCAAAAACCCGTCTGCAAAACTCAAAATAATTTCAAAACACCGCCGCCAGAATAATAATAAGAACACAAAAATACTCTCACATGACTCCAATCCTAAAATCCTTACATGAGTTACCCATAGGAGCCCGGATAACTTTCAAGATTTTAACATTGGTGTATACTGTATGCGTCAACATGACCTTTCTCCACCTTACCCCACGGATCTCATTCAATCATATCAAACAGATCGACCACTTCGCTCACAAAATACACACTCATTAGTTGTGCCACAAGCTAAACTGAAATCCTATGGGGATAAAGATTTTAATGTTTGGTAACCTGATATCTCCGAAACCACTAACCGGAAGTGGCCGAAATTTTGGCTAGTTTGAGATATTAATACTCTTATTATAATCTGTAAGTTTCATTGAAATCAGTTGTTAATTGTGGTCTGTAGCCGTGCCACATGAAATGTGTGGTAACCTGATATCTCGGAAACCGCTAACCGGAAGTGGCCGAAATTTTGGCTAGTTTGAGCTCTTAATACTCTTATTATAATCTGTAAGTTTCATTGAAATCGGTTGATAATTGTGGTCTGTAGCCGTGCCACATGAAATGTGTGGTAACCTGATATCTCGTAAACCGCTAACCGGAAGTGGCCGAAATTTTGGCTAGTTTGAGCTCTTAATACTCTTATTATAATCTGTAAGTTTCATTGAAATCGGTTGATAATTGTGGTCTGTAGCCGTGCCACATGAAATGTGTGGTAACCTGATATCTCGTAAACCGCTAACCGGAAGTGGCCGAAATTTTGGCTAGTTTGAGATATTATTAATGTTATTATAATCTGTAAGTTTCATTAAAATCGGTTGATAATTGTGGTCTGTAGCCGTGCCACATGAAATGTGTGGTAACCTGATATCTCGGAAACCGCTAACCGGAAGTGGCCGAAATTTTGGCTAGTTTGAGCTCTTAATACTCTTATTATAATCTGTAAGTTTCATTGAAATCGGTTGATAATTGTGGTCTGTAGCCGTGCCACATGAAATGTGTGGTAACCTGATATCTCGTAAACCGCTAACCGGAAGTGGCCGAAATTTTGGCTAGTTTGAGCTCTTAATACTCTTATTATAATCTGTAAGTTTCATTGAAATCGGTTGATAATTGTGGTCTGTAGCCGTGCCACATGAAATGTGTGGTAACCTGATATCTCGTAAACCGCTAACCGGAAGTGGCCGAAATTTTGGCTAGTTTGAGATATTAATACTCTTATTATAATCTCTAAGTTTCATTGAAATCGGTTGATAATTGTGGTCTATAGCCGTGCCACATGAAATGTGTGGTAACCTGATATCTCGGAAACCGTTAACCGGAAGTGGCCGAAATTTTGGCTAGTTTGAGATATTTATACTCTTATTATAATCTCTAAGTTTCATTGAAATCGGTTGATAATTGTGGTCTGTAGCCGTGCCACATGAAATGTGTGGTAACCTGATATCTCGGAAACCGTTAACCGGAAGTGGCCGAAATTTTGGCTAGTTTGAGATATTTATACTCTTATTATAATCTCTAAGTTTCATTGAAATCGGTTGATAATTGTGGTCTGTAGCCGTGCCACATGAAATGTGTGGTAACCTGATATCTCGGAAACCGTTAACCGGAAGTGGCCGAAATTTTGGCTAGTTTGAGATATTAATACTCTTATTATAATCTCTAAGTTTCATTGAAATCGGTTGATAATTGTGGTCTGTAGCCGTGCCACATGAAATGTGTGGTAACCTGATATCTCGTAAACCGCTAACCGGAAGTGGCCGAAATTTTGGCTAGTTTGAGCTCTTAATACTCTTATTATAATCTGTAAGTTTCATTGAAATCGGTTGATAATTGTGGTCTGTAGCCGTGCCACATGAAATGTGTGGTAACCTGATATCTCGTAAACCGCTAACCGGAAGTGGCCGAAATTTTGGCTAGTTTGAGCTCTTAATACTCTTATTATAATCTGTAAGTTTCATTGAAATCGGTTGATAATTGTGGTCTGTAGCCGTGCCACATGAAATGTGTGGTAACCTGATATCTCGTAAACCGCTAACCGGAAGTAGCCGAAATTTTGGCTAGTTTGAGATATTAATACTCTTATTATAATCTGTAAGTTTCATTGAAATCGGTTGATAATTGTGGTCTGTAGCCGTGTCACATGAAATGTGTGGTAACCTGATATCTCGTAAACCGCTAACCGGAAGTGGCCGAAATTTTGGCTAGTTTGAGATATTATTAATGTTATTATAATCTGTAAGTTTCATTAAAATCGGTTGATAATTGTGGTCTGTAGCCGTGCCACATGAAATGTGTGGTAACCTGATATCTCGGAAACCGCTAACCGGAAGTGGCCGAAATTTTGGCTAGTTTGAGATATTATTAATGTTATTATAATCTGTAAGTTTCATTAAAATCGGTTGATAATTGTGGTCTGTAGCCGTGCCACATGAAATGTGTGGTAACCTGATATCTCGGAAACCGCTAACCGGAAGTGGCCGAAATTTTGGCTAGTTTGAGCTCTTAAAACTCTTATTATAATCTGTAAGTTTCATTGAAATCGGTTGATTATTGTGGTCTGTAGCCGTGCCACATGAAATGTGTGGTAACCTGATATCTCGGAAACCGTTAACCGGAAGTGGCCGAAATTTTGGCTAGTTTGAGATATTAATACTCTTATTATAATCTGTAAGTTTCATTGAAATCAGTTGATAATTGTGGTCTGTAGCCGTGCCACATGAAATGTGTGGTAACCTGATATCTCGGAAACCGCTAACCGGAAGTGGCCGAAATTTTGGCTAGTTTGAGCTCTTAATACTCTTATTATAATCTGTAAGTTTCATTGAAATCGGTTGATAATTGTGGTCTGTAGCCGTGCCACATGAAATGTGTGGTAACCTGATATCTCGGAAACCGCTAACCGGAAGTGGCCGAAATTTTGGCTAGTTTGAGACATTAATGTTATTATAATCTGTAAGTTTCATTAAAATCGGTTGATAATTGTGGTCTGTAGCCGTGCCACATGAAATGTGTGGTAACCTGATATCTCGGAAACCGCTAACCGGAAGTGGCCGACTTTTTGGCTAGTTTGAGCTCTTAAAACTCTTATTATAATCTGTAAGTTTCATTGAAATCGGTTGATTATTGTGGTCTGTAGCCGTGCCACATGAAATGTGTGGTAACCTGATATCTCGGAAACCGTTAACCGGAAGTGGCCGAAATTTTGGCTAGTTTGAGATATTAATACTCTTATTATAATCTGTAAGTTTCATTGAAATCAGTTAATAATTGTGGTCTGTAGCCGTGCCACATGAAATGTGTGGTAACCTGATATCTCGGAAACCGCTAACCGGAAGTGGCCGAAATTTTGGCTAGTTTGAGCTCTTAATACTCTTATTATAATCTGTAAGTTTCATTGAAATCGGTTGATAATTGTGGTCTGTAGCCGTGCCACATGAAATGTGTGGTAACCTGATATCTCGTAAACCGCTAACCGGAAGTGGCCGAAATTTTGGCTAGTTTGAGCTCTTAATACTCTTATTATAATCTGTAAGTTTCATTGAAATCGGTTGATAATTATGGTCTGTAGCCGTGCCACATGAAATGTGTGGTAACCTAATATCTCGGAAACCGTTAACCGGAAGTGGCCGAAAGCTAGTTTGAGATATTAATACTCTTATTATAATCTGTAAGTTTCATTGAGATCGGTTGATAATTGTGGTCTGTAGCCGTGCCACATGAAATGAGACTTGTCACATGTGGCAAATAGTCTCCGGATTGTCTTACCACATGTGGCAAATAGCCCCAGCCAATTTAATATCAACCTAGAATAATCAAACAGAATGTGGGGTCTTTCTAAACAAAAGAACATGCCTGCCTTTACTACATGTAGTTCCCTTCAAGAAACCATAAAATGAAAAGCAATCGTTCTCATCCATTGATCAAAATTTGAAGAGAGAAAGAGAAATGGGGTTTAATGTCCACTTGACACAAACTAGGTCATTTCAGGACTAACATATGGTTCACTTTTATTTCAATAATTTGCTTGCATGTAGGGCCTTTAGCAGTGGTAGAAAACTGAATATCTCGGAGAAAATGCATGAGTTTGGACTTGCGACCTTACTAGGCCTACTTAATTGTCACGTACAACTGGGGAATCGAGACCTAGCCACTTGACTCAATGGCAGACCTTTTGATACAACTCTCCCTCAAAATTTGAAACATGCTTTACTGTTCGTAAGAATCATTGAACAAAACTGAGTACGTTTTCAGGGACATTGTTATTGTATAATATGGGACTGTGCATGGCTATAGCCCCTATAAATGACTTACCTTTACTTGTTTGACATTCTTCGAAAGAATATTGAGTAGGAACAGCTGTCTTTTTCAAAATATTTCTTTTCTTAAATAGCCTAGATAAGGTGCCACTAAATGCTTTGTTTGACATTCGTAGTCACTTGGTTTAAAATGTTTGCCACATACGTGATAGTTCTTTAGTTTTTGTGCACTCATGTTGACAGGAAAGTTCTGATTTCTTATGTTGACAAGCCACCGTCGTCTTTGTTCCCGATCTTTTGGAAAATTGTGGAAAGGAATGCCAAGTTTGACAGATAACGTTGGATGTGAACATCCCGGTACACAACAACAGTACATTTTTAGTAAGAAAATCTCCAATCACAGTCTTATATTAACCAAAACAAACCACATTATATCATTGAGCTTACAATCAAAACAATGTTTGTTTTCCTTTGAGGTTCGTCACTTCCGTTTTGGAAAGGTCGAGGCCACTGCTAAACCGCGCTATTGCGCTTTACTTAAAAATTATATTTGGAATCTATGTAAGTTATTCTATCGCATATGTAATATTCACTGACACCAATATTGTCCTTTAAGATTGTTGATTGGGTAATCAAGTTCTGGTTTATTTATATTATCAATATAATGTAACATGCCGAAAATGATAGTTTTGATGAACTGAGAAGTGTCACGTCGAGAATTACACACTGGAAAGAAACATGTGTAATTTCGTTAATTTTAAAATAAAACATCGTGCAGTAAGTAAAAAAAAAAATATGCAATAACTTAATAGTTGACATGACCCAGTTAACATTGATGGTTAGATTTACGTAAAGTTTACGTCATTATGGTTAGATTTTGGTTAGCGTCCAATAATGGTAAAATTCTTTGGTTAAATTTACGTTACTTTTACGTCATAATGGTTATGGTTACTTTTACGTCAGAAAATGACGTAAATGTAACGTAAACTTTATGACGGATTACTAACCATTTTTTTTCCCCTTTGAATACTTCTTGATTAAATAACATTACAAGTGTGTGCACATTCTAACAATTGATATATAGTCGGAATTCAGACATAATAATTATATATGTATTATTGGTTATAATTCTAACGTTAATTCTAACGTAAATTTTACATCAGGTTTCTAACCGTTAGTTTATGGTTAGTTTTCTGACGTAAATCTAACGTTAGTTTTTTGACGTAAATCTAACGTTAGTTTTCTGACGTAAATCTAACGTTAGTTTTCTAACGTTAATATAATGTTAGTTTTCTAACGTTCAATGTAATGTTAGTTTTATGTCATAATTTTAACCGTTAATTTAACGTTAGTTTTCTAACGTAAATCTAATGTTAATTTTATAACATAAATCTAACTTTAGTTTTCTAACATAAATCTAACGTTAGTTTTCTAACATAACCTGATATTAGTTCTAAAACGTAAAACAAATGTCAGTTTAATGTCATGATACTAACAATTAAGTCCCTGACAAGACAGCTGTCTAGTCATTAAAATGGGTAAGACCCTGGCTTGCTAGCCTGGAGGTCGGGTGTTCGATCCCTGCATTGGCCGAGAAAGTTCATCCAGATTTCCGGCGTGGTTTCCCCTTGTCAGTGATGCAGGACGGAGAGCCTGACAAGGACAGCTGTCTAGTTGTTCAGATGGGCTAAAAAACCGAGGTACCGTGTACACATTGGCATGCATGTAAAAGATCTCTTGACAGTTGGAATTCGATATAAGAGTAGGCCGTAGTGCCACTGTCGGGGCAAAATTTCCTTCATAACACACTGTATGGTGTATGGCCATCTTCATTAGCCCAGTTCGGAGCAGAACAGTTGGACGTTAAACCCCATTTCATTTCATTACATTTTGTATCCATTTCTAAGTGCCCAAGAATAGAGATCTAGCTCCTTTAATAGTTGCGGTCTGTAGGTGACACACAAAGAGAAAACGAATGAATGAATGATCTACTCTCATTTCAAATTCCAAATGTCAAGGGTTCTTTTACGTGCACACCCACGTGATGGACTAGACGCTTTTTTTGGGGTCCTCTGTCCTACACCACTACTAACAAAGGGAACTTTCTTGACCAACATGGGGATCACGTTGGCTAAGTGGGTAAGACGCTGACTTGCTAGCCTGGAGGTTGGGTGTTCGATCCCTGCATTGGCTGAGAAAGTTCATCCAGATTTTCCTGCGTGTTTTCCCCTTGTCAGTGATACAGGACGGAGGGCCTGACAAGAACAGCTGTCTAGTCAGGGATGAAAAACTGAGGTCACGTGTACACACAGGAGTGCACATGAAAGATCCCTTCGTAGTTGGAACTTGATATAAGAGTAGGCCATAGCACCGCTCCCTGGGCAAAATTTCCTTCATAGCATACTGTATGGCGTATGCTCGTCTTCATTAGCTCAGTTTAGGAGCAGAACAGTAGGACGTTAAACCCGATTTCATTTCATTTTTCTCGACCAACACGGAAATTGAACCCCTCATTTGCTAGCCAGTGTGTTACTAATTACTACGAAGAGAGAGAGAGAAATGGGGTTTAACGTCTACTCGACACAAACTAGGTCATTTCGGGACTAACATATGGTTTAATTTTTATTTACATAATTCGCTTGCGCGTAGGGGTCTTTAGCAGTGGGAGAAAACCGGAGGTTGGACAGGCGACCCTACTCCTTGTCACGTACAACCGGGGATTCGAAACCACGCCAGTCAACTCAATGACAAACTTTATGATACAGCGCCCGCACGCTAACCATTCAGCCATCCAACCCCCCCCCCCCCCCATTACTAATTACTAAGTTTGTGAAATGTAGGTTTTTCCTCATGTAGGTTTGTCCTGATGAAATCGGTTTATTGTCCTACTGTTCTGCTCCGACTGGGCTAATGAAGACAGGTACATACCATACAATGTGCTATGAGGGAAATTTTGCCCCAGCAGCGGCACTATGGCCTACTAATATCGAATCCAACTGCCAAGGGATCTTTTCGTGCAAGCCAATGTATACATGGTACCTCGGTTTTTTGTCCCATCTGAGTGACTAGACTACTGTTCTTGTTCCTGCACCTCTGACAAGGGGAAACCATGTCGGAAAATCCTGATGAACTTGCTCCACCAATGCAGGGATCGAACACGTGCCCTCCGGATAACCGAGCCAGCATCTTACGCACTTAGCCACCGTGGTTTTATCAAAATTAGTAATGAAGATGTGCTATGACAGAAATTTTGCCTGGACAGCAGCATTACTGCACTTACTAATGAAGATGTGCTAGGAAAGACATTTTGCCTGGAGAGCAGCATTTCCGCATATAGTCATTACCAATAGTTCTAAGTGCACGCCAACCTGTAAAACAGGTCTTTACACACTTTTCCATCATTACCAATTACTAGTCTGCGGGTTCACTAGTCCGTGGGTGCAATAATCCGTGCATTCACTAGTCCACTAGTCTGACTCTATAAAATACTATAAATATGAGTATTAAAGAAACCCAGTAGATATGGTGACTGATATCACCCTTCGTAAGGCGATAACCCAACATCACGGCATTTTAACCCGAAATCACAACATTTTAACCATTATAGCATATGCCCTTCTTCATTAGCCCACTTGGAACAAAATAGTAGGATGTTCAAACCCCATTTAAAATTCATTTTCATACTTTTCTGCACCAATTGGACTATTGAAGATAGTCATACGCAATGCAGAGTGCTATGACGGAAATTTTCTATGGACTGTGGCAGGGCGGAAGATCTGGCAAGGGATAAGGTATAGTTGTTCGGGTCATACGAAAAATCAAGTCCTCATGTACATATTGGCATGCACGTAAAAGACACTCTGACAGTTGTAATTCAATAGTGCCGCTATCCGTGCAAAGTTTCCGTCATAGTACACTGTATATAGTGTATGCCTGTCTTCATTAGCTCACTCAGAGCAAAACAGTAGGATGTTTAATCTCATTTAATTTTATTTAAATTTCCTACTTTTCTGCACCAATGGGACTATAAAAGATAGGCTGTCAAGCGGACGAGTGCACCCGTTGACTATTGAGCATCATTTACTTGAAAACGTTGAGAGAACCCTCAACGAAATGTCGCTTTAATTAAAATAGTAATTGTGTTTTTTGTTGTATCATCGAGTCAAGTGAACGTTAAACCCCATTTCTCTCTCTCTCAATTTTGATACCCAAAAATTTGACAAAACAAATAATGATTGATTGTCGGAACTGTTTCATAAAGCAAAGTTGTTCTCTACTAAAAGGTTATCACTGTCCAAATGTTCGGAGTAGTCCACACCTAGGCCGACTATGCATGAAGTGTTTTTATAATTAAATTTATTAAATATAGTACCTTGCACCAGTAAATATAAAATTAATGATCCTTTCACCAGTAAATATAACATTCATAGGCCGACAATGCATTAAGTGTTTTTATAATTAAAGTTATTAAATGTAGTACCTTGCACCAGTAAATATAAACTTAATGATCCTTGGACCAGTAAATATAATATTCATGATCATTATTTATATAAGGCCTTCATCAACCTTGCACCAGTAAATATAAAATTAATGATCCTTGCACCAGTAAATATAAAATTCATGATCACTATTTATATAAGGCCTTCATGTATGTTTGTACAAGTGTACATTCTTGGAATTGTATTACCATTAACAATATGGAGATCAATTATAATAACCTTTGGCCTTGTTCATGAATCCTTAAATTTTTGAAAATTTAGTTCTTAATATGAAACTATCTAAATAAAATATTGCTTAAATCAATGTGTGTTGTTAATGTCATTCAAAATGGCGGCTGTCTACATATACAATATATAAAATAGGTCATGAGTCGATTGTTGCCGTTTTTTTATTTCGAATTTAAAAGTTCAACACTTAATTATATAAGTTGTAAAACCATATAAAAATAAAGGTTGGACCAAGACTAGTTCCATTTTTTTAAGTTATGGATCTGAAAAATAGATAATAATGACCCAGTCAATTAACATAGAGATCTACTCTAGCTATATGAGTCCATATATTTATCGTCTCTCGATAAAAGACCTATCTCTGAAAATTAAAATTCCCCGATTTGATTCTTTTAATATAACGTAATTATGTAACCTCATATAATATATGGTAGAGCGTATACAAACAAATTATATGAATAGATTCATTATCAGAAATATTACAGGCCTTTGAAACGAACAGTCGCCATTTTTAGACCTACATAGATGTACAAATATATTTTTATCGTCTCGGGCAAGGTCAAGGTCACGATCTGTTCACGGTTGATGATTGTGTTTAAATCGGTTTATATCATATTATTTCTATTCACATTACAATATTTTTTATAGGTTACGGTTATTGTTGTTATTTATCTAAATTGCTTCAATTATTTATTAAATATTTTTTGTTTGTTCGTTTGACCGGAACGTACGGAATTCTGGGA